CAGGCATTGTATACCCTTTTTCATTGATGAATAATAAAGAAAAGGAAAATTCAGATGACATCTTCCATTAAATAAAGGCTGATATATGTCCCAACTAGAGAATTCAAAGGACTGATTTATCACAAATTTTAGAAGGAGGACTCAAACAAAAGTTAAAGTACGGGCACTTAATTATTTTCCCTTGGAACTGGCATGCGTATTATTTGCTCGTGCGTTTTTTACTTATATTCTATTAAGAGAGTTTAATCAAACTTCTAGCTATGAATGAAATCAAATCTATTATTTTTGGAAAAGTTTTGATTTCTTTTGGTATTTTCAATTAAACTCATGGTAGGGTGTGTTAATGTTAATGACTCCTAATGTTGACAACTTAGCCATAAATTTAATACCGTGATATTTTTTTTATCATAATTGAAAAGATACAATATCAACCTAATGGATATAAAGAGATCGGCTCTGTTCCCTTTTCTTCATCCAGAGAAATCATGTCCCGGGGAAAACTTTGTTTGAAAGTTCTTCTGACTTCTGAGACTTCTAGCATCTGGGCCACCTCAGATATAAGTTCATGGCAGCATGGACACCATGACAAACGAAGCAAAGATGAAAAGAAAATTTGTTGAAGAATTAGTGACAAATCAACCCTATTCGAGTTTACTTGGTGACCAAGGTTCGATTTCTAGGTTGGATGTAGAGTTCAACCTCTTTACAACGAGCTCTTCTCATCAACCAAAGCAGTTGTCCTCCTCTCAAATAAGTTCAGAAAAGAAAGACCAAGCCAAACCTAGGGGTTTTAGGTGCAGCTTCTGTCCTAAGTAGTTTTCTATGTTTCAAGCCCTCGGAGGTCATCAGAACGCACATAAAGAGGAGCGTGCACCGGAAAAACAAGATAAAGATCTCGATCTAAGAGGGCTCGTGCACCAGCCACATCCTCACTATTCTTATTCAAGTTTGTACCTTCGACCTCACCTTTATAGGTCTTATAGTGGGGCATTAGGGCTAATTGATCCTACGATCCAGAATCCTCTCCCTGTGGCTTACCCGTTAAAATCTGTAAGGCCTCGCTACAGCCAGGCTAGTGGAATCATGATAGACAATTTCTAAACTAATCGGAGTGCTGGTTTTCCGATGAGAATGGAGGGTTCGAGTGTTTCAACGTCAAGTAGGACAACCAGCAATTCTCTTGATCATTTGCCTCAGAAGAAAAAGGATCAACATGATTATACCGACGATTCAGAACTTGATCTATCGCTCAAACTCTAATTAAACTATGATTATCATTGGAAGTTAATTTGCTGAGATTTTCTTCTTTAGTAATTCTAAATATCTTGTGGTCTTTATGTTAATATATAATTTCAATTGTTTATTAAAATATGTACATTTATACATGTAATAAGTCAAGATTCACTTACACATCTAAGTTACAAAATATCAGCCCATTGTTATACCCCTTTCCGTGATAAAATTGCAGAGTATCCTTTTCCTTTTGCTTAACATGTTTCCAAAGTTGATTGCCTTTCTTTCCAATTATAGTGGTAGAACATGTAAAATTTTTTTTTTTCTATTTTACAGTTTGGATTGCTCTATATTATAAAATTTAAATCAATGGATAAGAGATTCTTTTGTCATTTAAAAGTTTAAATTATATAGTTTAGTATAATTCAAACTATATAATACTTTTTTAAGTTTAAAATACCAAAATTGTTTCAATTTTAAAACAATTAGTTGCTAAGCATTTAAAAGTATTGAAATGGTTTTTAAAGGGTTGAATTTGATACCTTTTTAGTTCTACCTAGGTTCACCAAAACCCATCTAAACTCTCAAGTTATATAGGTACTAAAATGACCAATTGTTTGTTAATTCTAAATTTTCATAAGGTTTGGTAGTAAAGACAAAGGCTCACAACTTGAAGATGGTGTTGGGGTATAAAGTTCACATGTGAGTGACATTAAGGAATGTATATAAGATGTCACATTGAAGAGAAACAAGGTGTTATAGAACATTATATATGTGTAAAGGCCCATGAACCGAATAGGCATGTCTTTTGGGTTATGCTGGAATATAAAGTTTATATAAGAGTGGAGTTATAAGATGTGCATAAGATCCCACATCAAAGAAAATAAGGTATTATAGTGCAATATATATGTGGAGACCCATGAACTTGATAGGTATGTTTTTGGGTTTAATATGGCGTCTCATCATACGTGTTCGTGACAAGTGGTATCAAAGTTGATGGTTCAGTTGATGGTGCAATTGGTGATCAAGGATGGGTTTGGTTAGGATTGTAAGTGTGGAGAAGTTCATGGAAGAAAGACTTTGTAGTAGTCTCATGGCAAAAGTTGAAGATGTAATTTCTTCATGGGGGAACAAAGAGAAATAAGGTGTTAGAGTGCAATATATATGTGAAGGCCATGAACTTGATAAGCATGTCTTGGGTTCAATAAGGTGTCTTCTCATATTTGTTCATGCTCTTTCACATGTGTGTGCCTGAGTTGGCGATTCAAGGTTCAAGCTCCCATGAATGTAGGTTTTTTTAAAGTTTTTCTTAGTTTTGTGTACTGTGCTTAAGTCATGAGATACCACATTTAGGATATGTTTAGTTCGGGAAAAGGGAAGTTCTTACTATATTTTTTGCTTTTAATTTATTCAATCCTTTTAACTTATCTATTTGATTTCTCTTGTGTTACCTCCCTCAAGTTCCCTCAATTCTCTTGTGTTCTCTCCCTCTGTCTCCCACCAATCAAATATAGGAATATAAAGGGATAAGAGAAAATTAACTTGTGCAGCCCAAAAATCAAAAAATAAAAAATAAAAAAATAAAAAAAAACTTTAGTGCCCTTGACAATTGACATAATTAGAATTATTAAGTAGTAATGAAAACAAATTAAAGGGTGCAAGAAAACACTTCATCAAATTAAAAGAAAAGATACATAGAGCAAATTGATTAATCAACAATGATCAAGGTGATGGAAAGAAAGTACAATATATTTTCAGAGCAAAGCAGCATCAAAAGGCACTCCTGTTGAAGGCAACCAGGATTGCCCTTGAATGAAATTCGACACAGTGAAGTTAACAGCAACAGTTGCATCTATAATATGGTATCCAGGCCATGTAACCCTTTGCGAGGTATCTGATCCAGGCCCTCTGTTGCTAAATTCAGCATAATACAGGGTACTAAGTGCAAAATTACCAGTCCATTGATCCCACCCTGCAGGATCAATCAAACTATCCATAAAGGATTGCATGTAAACAGTTCTTGAATACATCTTCCACGGTCGTCCAAGATACGTCTTCGTAGTCCCCAGATCTTCGGCTGCCTTAATGTTGCAATTGTGTATTGATGTACCGGTGTTTTGGTTTGGATCTGATCTTCCTTGTGCGGTGATTGTGTCGGCTTGCCCGAGTATGGGCAGTCGCGGGTAAATGTTGCAGTTCTGGAAAACAACCGCGGCATTACCGAAGATGAAGTCGACGGTTCCATAGATGTCGCAGTCTCTGTAGAATTGACGAAGGGAGTAAGTATATAAGGTGTCTTGGTAGCCTTCAAAGCTGCAACTATAGAAGGCGGAGAGGTCGGCGCTGCTTCGAAGCGCCACCGCTTGACCCTTGATTGCTCCGGCTGTGTTTCGGAATGTGATGTTCACTGCAACAAAGCCTTGTCCAACGATAGCTGGGACAGAATTAATTAAAATTAAGTTCATTAATTAGAAAATTTTCAGAATTTGAGTAAAAAAAAATTGGATGGTAAGAAGCATCTCTGATTTAACCAACAATATGCTACCGTGATTTTGATTTGTTGGTTTTTCTAACCTTTGTGGTTATGCCATAAAAATATATTTTTTATTTTTTGAACATGTTACAATTATTTACAAGTTAATCGAGAGATGAAAGAAATGGTTCTAATTCAGATCCAAAACCACTGGATCGAAACGGGTCATTTATATTTTTTTTTATCATTAATTATTATAAAAAAATAAAAATTAATTTAATTTTATTAATAATTTAATAAAAATCATTTATATAATGTTAGTATTTTAACAAAAAATATAATATTAATGTTAAAATTAATATTAATTTTATATTTTTATATAAATTACTAATAAAAAATATATATTAAATACATTATTAACTTGTATTTTATCTGCATATATTAGGAAAAAAAATTAAATTTAAAAATTAATAAAAAGAGATATTTTTAGTCTCATGAGTATAAATCTTTTCATATTTGATTGATTATTATATATATTAACTATTCTCTCAATTTTTTTTATTAAATTTGTGATTTAAATGTAACAGTTACATTGAATCTTTTGATTAGTACAAGATTTATACCATGAATACATTCTCATGTGATGTTAAATGAAATGTTTTAAATGCTGCATCAAAGAAAATGTTTTAAATGCCTCAAAGTTTGTTGTCGTTTTCCCTTGTTTTTTCATTTTATTTTTGGTGACATTTAGGGCATTTTACGTAATTACAGTAAGTCAAGTACCTATTAGAGCAAACCTCGATCCTGTGGTTTTGTGTTGTTGAAATTTTAAAAACTATACGGCGTGAGAGAGGCAAAAGAGAGGTAGTCTTATTTCTACCGATTAAATTAAGTTTTTAAGTTAATGATTAGTTATAATTAATTTCTCTTTTCTCTATTCAGCCGAAACATAACTAGAGGTGTTATATGTGCCCACCCACAATCATAGGTAAATTAAGTGAACATTTAATTAAGGTATTTTTGAAACATTAATCTAGCTTTGATGAATATTAATTTTAGCTTACCAAATGTCGCAGAATTGAAAGTAGTCCATCCATCAGCCACACTGCGATCACCGGTGATTACCGTCCGGCTAATACCATCTCCGATCATCATCAGATTCTGCTTGTTGTTGGGTATAGAAACATACTCATTATAGACACCAGCAATGACATGAATCACAAAATACTGCTGACTCCTGGAAGAGTCGTCAGGTGCTGCAGTCACTGCAGCACTGATTGTAGTAAAATCCCCACTTCCATTAGGATTCACCACAACCAATTTGCTCACATTCACAGTTTGTCCAACATCCTGAAGCAACTTTCTTCCCCTCAGGAATTTAAGCAATTCCTGATCCCGGTTTAAAATGTTCTCCTTCAGCCATCTCCCCTGCTTTGTGCCCTGGTCGTGAACCCAACCAAGCTTGAAGAAGGCAAGAGACATGCTAAGGAGCATGGTTCCATTTGAGAGGAGAGGCATGAGATTATTCTTGATTTCTTCAGCTGATGAGGTGGCATTGAGCCCATCTAAACATGTTTCTTGATTTGTCACAGCGGCACTAAGCAGGGACAGGTAATCATCTGCCTGGGAACTGTCTAGATTGTCCTGGTAATTGATAGTTTGTAAGGTGTTTGATAAAAAGTCTATGTTCAACGAGGCTAGAAGTTGGCAATCCTCGAGGGCTCGGGTTGCAGAGAGAGATGAGGTCGAGGGAAGATTCAGGTAATATTCAACTAATGAGAGGAGATTTTGAGCACTTGAAAAGGATTGATTAAGAGAAATCCTGCAATAGTCTAATATGGTTTGATTCTTGTCAACGGAGACATGGGATTTGCAGAAGGATGGGTATGGTGTGTAGTCGCAAATGAGACCTAGGGATAAGGAGGATGAGGTGGTAAGAAATGAGAGTATAAACATGAAGACAGAAATGGTGCGAAGCAGGGTTGATTGCTTTGAGGCCATTATATATGTTCAGGAAGCTCAAATTAAAGATGATTGAGATTTTGTAGGATTGTTGGTCCTATATATACAAAATGTATGCCCTTTTTGAATTTTTTTAACTAGGTATCACCTTAAGTCGGTTAGCATACATCAACATATATATTTTTTCTAATTAATGAAAGACCGGTTACTAATGGAAAAAACACTGCAAAGGTACACTATTTCAATATATCACTAAGAGAAAAAATTAAAATAATATATTTTCAATATAAAAATAAAGACTATATTAATTTGTTTATAATATTTTATTAAAATAACATAATTTTAATATTTTTTCCACTAACTTTTTACAACTCTACTACTTCTTTTGATTTGTCTAGCAGTGTCGGTGTCTGTCTCCAGCAACCTCCAAGTACGTAGCTCACAACCGGCCAAGAGCTTTAATTTCCAGCGCAACAACAAATTCAGCCATCTCACTCTACTACTTAAGGCCTCCATTTGAACCGTTGAGCCAAGACTTTATTAACCCACACCGTTATTAATAGTTGGAATGATTTCATTGGATTGATTAGTTTCCCTTATTTGTGTCTTCAGGAGGTTAGTCATTTCGGAGAGGATGCTTATTTTAAGTTCTGTTTGAGAACATTTTCTAGTGCTGAAGCATGAAATTGAAGGATTTTTGGATGTTGGGTGACGTTTCCTTCTAGTTTTGTGATGTTAGTATGCAGTTTGCTTTCAGTTCTGAAACGTATGTTCCTTTAATTGTTTTGCCTCTAGAATTGGAATGTTAAATGAGCAGATTTAGAATTGTTTGTGATTTGTAAAATTGGATTATCTCGATAAAAATAATTGATATATTCTCTAATTAAACATATTTTTTGATATTTACTTGATTTAATTATTAAAATATAATTTAAGTATATTTAATTGCATTAGTTCTTGCATGTTATATATATAATTGTATTTTTAAATTTATTTATTTTTAAATTTATTTATCTTTAGTTTTATTTGTCTTTAATTTTAGATAAAAAAACTAATTTTTAATAATTATATTATACAATGTATTGTTTATCTATGAGTGTACCAATTTGTGTCTTTATATTAATGTAAGTGGTGGCCGAATACCAATTGTACTGCTTCAAATAAAATTTTTTCGTTGATAGAAAAATGAATAAATAAATAAAGGTTTTGTTCATGGAGTGAGATAGATTGTAAGATTTGGTCTTCACTTGTGGTTTCTTGGTCGATTTGGCTTGGTAAGAAATATAGTGATTTTCATTGGTTCGACGATGTCATGAGTGAATGATGTATTTAACTTAATCCAGTTGTGCTCTTTTTTATATATGGCTTAAAGAGAGAACCATTGGTTGTTTGTTTTTCTATGCATGAATGGTGCATTTAATACTGCTTTGTGTTGCAGAGAAGTGTAGTTTTCGTTTGACATGTTGAAGGAGTTTCCTACTTTCATTAGGCTCATTTGGGCTGTCGAGCATGAGATCTGTTGCTTCATTGCTGGCTGTGTGCTTCATGTGGGTTGATTCCTGTTTCTCTTATGGGGATGTGCTTATTTTTTTATTTTTTTATTTTTTGAACAAGTTGTCAAGGGACAAACTTGAAACCCGTTCATGAAGGAGAGGAAATGTATCTTAAGTTGACAGGTTGCCAATTGACCCGAAAGATCAGGTGCGCTTATTTATTTATTTATTTAATAAAAGAGATATTATTGCTTATCAATCCAATCAAAGCATAGAGCTCAGGGGATTTGCCTTTTTATTTATTTATTTAATAAAAGGGGTAGACTATTGCTTATCAATCCGAATCAGTGCATAGAGCGCAGGGGATGTGCATTTTTTTATTGTGTCTTGAGTTGAGTTCAGGCAATTTTTTTTTAATTAACATAATTATAATGTAATATGAGATTATAAATTTATAATTATAATAATTATTAAATAAATAAATGTACACTATTAAAAAATGTGATTCATTTGGTTAAATATTTTGATTGAATAAATTTATATTTTCGCCAAAACAAAATTAATTCATTAAAACACTTAACTGAGTTGTTAATTCAAATATTTTGTATACGAAATAACTATTTGAAAAGAATTTCATTTTGACCGAAAGATCATTTAATTCAATTGAAATATGTGACCAAAAATATGCTTTGGCAGTGCATTAAAAAGTCTAATATTCGGATAAGTATTTTATCTGAAATTAATTTTTTTTTATGTTTATCTGAAATTATTAAATATTATTTTAACCATAAAAAAATGATTTAGAGATAATTTTTTTTTGTATTGTATTTTTGTATAATCTTGTGTGTCATTTAAATAATTGACTCTTTTTATTCCACAATATTAAATATATCTACTCATTTAATAACACATAAAATTTATATAAAAAGATGATACACAAAAATTATTCTTATATCACAACCCTTATTCATATTATTGGTCAATAAATTTTTTTTTGAACATATTACAATAAATCAAGTTCATAAAAAATAAATGATTTAAAGTAGAAATTAAACCATGCATCCTAATAAAGTAAAAAAAAAT